ACTTCTTAGTCTTGAAGAGCCTGATTGGCATGCTTCATCATCATCACCTCAAAGACCCGCTCCAAAACTCAGCAGCGAGGCTCCCGAGCTGAAGGAAGCAAGGCCAAAGACTGAAGCAACAACAGTGGCCCCCAGCAACCGTGGGCCAATTCAATCAAGGAAAGGAGTCATTCCATGGGAGACAGTGAAATGTGAGAAATGTTGCAAAAATGTTGGTCAGTTCAAAGAGGATCCAAGCCCTGGTTCCCGACACAAAGCAACGTACTATTACAGGGCCCACGCCAACGAAGTTGGAGGCGCCTTGGCTTCACAAGCAAGTTGTCTTTGAGGTACTGAGGCGTTTCTCTATTTCATCGATTGTCTTATGAATATGGTTTCATAATGAGTTCAGGTGACTGGGCAACACGCGCGCCCTACAAGGGACTGGATCTGCATACACAAGAAATGTGGCTGCAAGTGGAATAAGGTATGCGCTGAGCTGCTGCACTGCGCTTAAAGATTCGCCTTTGATTTATCATTTTGCAAGGCACACGTTTTGATGGTATTTTGATCTTAGCAGTCAAGTTGAGCGTTCAAACTTGTCCTTAGTATGTGTTGAGCTGCTGCGCTGATTCACATTTGATTTATCCTTTTGCAAGGTGTACGTTTTGTTGGTAATTTGATCTTAGCAGCCAAGTTGAGCGTTCAAACTTGTTCAATCAAACGTGCCGTTTATGATGGACGCCATGGCAATCATGGTGACATTTAGTGTGGCTTTTGCAATCATCATGGTGGTGATTCACTTCTTCAATTCCTGTTCCACCAACATCGTTTACAATGAAGGTTTATTTGATGAACCGAGTGCTGTTGGCAAAGTGCAGTTGTCTGATGATGATGACTCTGACTCTAAAAGCTACATTTCTTGGAATTCCGATGATTTCGATATGTCATCATCACATTGAGGCACTGAGTCAAGCCCTGGCATTGAAAGAGTCTGGGCGGTCAGTCGCCAGCGGCGCCAATTGCGTCAATTGCGCGCTCTTCAAAGTATTGATAGACAAGCCTATAGCATGATCTTTGAAGCAATGAATCAGAGTCGAGGCTGAAGGGCACTGTGCCAAACTCTTCATCTGGATGTCAGATTAGCAGACTTGTTTTTTATGACGGAGACTGGGCACAAGTTCCATGTCTGCTTTGTTGAATTGATTCTGATTCAGGTTGTTCACAGTTGTTGGGCAAGTTGGCATTAAAAAAATGTGTTTGCGACCTGTGATAGTCCTTGATAGTTTCAGTCATGTTTTGATTGCTATGATTCCATGTCATGGGACTCAGACTTGCAGCACAGTAAACTGAATAGCAGTGCACTTCGTTCGTGCCAGCCAGGTGAACCATCATGAAGATCAACCATGGATGACCGTGACTTGTTTGATGAGGCTGATGCTGATTGAGCTGAATGTCTTGTCACGTATTGTTCAATTTTAACCTAGACCAAAAATGGCGCCACCGAGTTTGATGTTGCTTGCAAGGGTTGGAATCCCTGCCAGCACAGTGCTCTTCAGCCAAAACCTGTCTAGTTAAAGTTTCAATAAACTTACTTTCAACACAGTGCCCTTCGGCAAAAACTTGACTAGATTCAAACATCTTATTACAGTAACATACAGTAACAATCCCTGCCAGCACAGTGTTCAGAAAAAAGTTTACGTACTTATTAGCTACTATTCAATGATCTTACAATCTCTGCCAGCACAGTTAAAGCTTGACTACTTTCAAAAATACGTTTCAATGCCTCGAGCCAATACTTGACTAGTTGCAAAAAACCTTACTTTGTCACAACCCCTGCCAGCACAGAGCTCTTCAGCCAAAACTTACTAGTTTCAAAAACTTTCAACGAGGCCAGGAGCGATGATCGTAAAGGAACCGTTTGTCCTTGGTACTTCTTTCATTGTATGTTATAAGTTGACTTGTCGCTAGACTTGTCAACTTATCGTAAAAGGCTATGTTGAATTTTCATTTTGTCTGCAAATTCACTGCAACTTCACTCGTGGCTCCACTCGTGGACTTACTCGTGAAAACACTTTTGGTTCACTCCTATTTTTACTCGTTGGTGAATTTTATTCAAAATCATGTCTAATCATATTTGTGTCATTTTTACTCTTACTTAAATAGTTCTATTCAATCATTCTAAATCTTGTTTGTGACAATTTTATGCTTAAACAATGATTCACTATGATCAAAACAATTTCAAAAATGCAAAAAAGGGACTAGCCAGAGTGACCTCAAAGGGTGCCCATCTGGAGGGTCAACTTTGATTTGCTGATTTTGCAAAGGCTCCCCCATTCCTGGAGTCCTGGAGCATGCCCAGCGCGTTCAGGTGGACTTCAATGATGCTCCAGCCGCGCCCATTGCCACAGTGAGGCGCAACGCTCCTGTTGGTCTTTGACTTTTTGGAGCTGGTGTTCAAGCCACCCCTCCATGTAGTCGCTCGCTGCTGATGAACCCCTTACGATTCCACTCCACGAAGACCTTGTTCAACCCGCCGCCTGGGCCACATTCCTTACCAGCCACGGCCGTGAAGGTGAAGTTCTGCATCTCCTCGGTCGTGACCTGACTAGATGATGTCGTCGTTCAGGTAAGTCCTGTCCTCTGATGTTCAGCCTGTTCAGGAGGTGTTGGATCGTTCCGTCTTCTGGGTTCAGCAGGCGGTTCCATGGACGGTAGTGGGTGTTTTCGGACACGGTGTTCTCTCCACAGGCTCTCGAAGCAGCCTTCCCACTAAAGAGCTTCCCTTGCTGGCGTAGTTCATCATTCTGCCTGCAGTTCTGCAACTGCCTGGATTTTCCAACTCTCGCTGTAGGTCATGCATGGTCCACTGTAGGTTTTCCTCGGCGCCCCTGATCGGGTTTATGCGTTCCCCATGAAGTCTTTGTACTCTTCGAGCTTCCGATCTTCCACTTCTTCTGGTCGCTCCCTCTTCTAGCGCTCCACAATGCCCCCCATCCAACTCGACGGCGGCGTAGGCCGTTCAAGCTCACTGGCGGTCCAGGGTTGATCTTGAATCCCTTTGCTCGTGCGCTGGCTCTTCAGCATCTAGGTTCAGGGCTTCCGGCAGTAGTTGTTCTTCCGAGTCTACTCCGAGGATGCCCTCACGAACTACCGGAAAGATATGCCTCCATCAGGGCCACTCTTTCCGCAACATCCAGCCAGCTACCTGATCTCGTCATGGTCTTTGACCTACTACGCGAGCCACGTTGGGCTCATAACCTGCGATGAACGCCTGCGTACAGCAGTGAACATGGTCTCACGTTCATGAATGGATTCTCTGTCGAAACATGAATTGCTTCTAGCGATTTCAAATCGGCTTGGCCAAGCGCTTGGCGGCGATGTATGTTGGAGGGTCTATCTTTCTGTCGCAGTGGATCCATAGAGTACCCATGAGAATGAGGACGGGAAGTAGGAAGCCTGAAGCCCTTGTAAGCCCAAACGCTTTTGTCTGTCCAGGGGGAGGGATGAGCGACAAGAGACAACTAAATACTGACTCTCAACCTTACCTTGCTCGGTCCCCACTCGCTTGCTTGCGCAAATATTTCTCATCAACAATCCCCCACTTCATTGTTCCTTTTTGGAGGCCCTGTCCTGGCAAGGAAGATGTTGATAGGCTTGTCCCCATTATATAGTACACAGTTATCTTGCGCTGCAAGTTGTGAACACTTTGGGAGACCACTCACTTCACAAACGACATCACGCCGACGCGGAAGAACAAATGGGTTTCTATTAGCCCGCGCAAGAAGCGTTTTATGCTTTTGCCACACCCCTCCAGCGTCCGGTCTTGTATTTTGAACGTGGCAAAGCCAAACCAAAGTGGAGCGCAAACGACTTCCAAGTAGCCATTGCTCGCGCATTTGGGCTGAGCGCTGGGGCTTGCTCGCTGCCTCTTTTGGTGGTGCGAGCCTGGCCCTCGACACAACATTCACTGAGATCCGTCGCCAATAAAACTTGACAAACAAAAATGCCAAAATCGCAAACATATTTATTTATGCCTTGAGCGCACCTCATCAGGATCCTCCGTTGGAAGACGCATCCCAATCTTCCTGGCTGTCTCAGTTTTCAATTTGACTTGTTGTTTGACGCTATCCGAACAAAGACAGACAGGTCACAAGAACTCAGAAACCCTCCTGGCGCAACCCCCCCGATGCAAGCTTGAACCAAGAGACAGACGGGTTGCTGCACTGATGGTTGGAGACCCTTGCCTTCAAATTGGAAGTTTTGCAGTATGCCTGAGGAAGCCATACCGTGGGAGGTGGCAGGGGCACACAATTGAAACAGGAAGACCATATCTACAGTAAGTCTCAAACGACAGGAATTGAATTGAAGCAGCCGCAGCGAGTTTGGAATGAAATGAGCGGCGATTCGACTGATTCGTTTAGACGCGGAAGCGAAACCAATTGAATTAAAAGCTGTGGTTCATTTCATTTATGAGACAGCACCCTGGTTCAAAAAAGAACCTGGAGACCACCTCGAAGCGGAAAGAACTTGAAGACACCAAACGTTGCGGAGTTGCAAAGCTACCCTGTCAGAACAAAACCTTTTGGACACCTCACAAGATACAACGTAGCTCCTTCTTTCCCAGATAATTGAAACCTATAGGGGCCCTTACTTCTCAATGGCTTGGTGCCTCTATTCCCTTTTTTGGCTTACAGCTGCCACTTCCGCCTTGACTTATCTGCCTGTGTGATCGCCGTCATGGTTTGCCACTGCTGCGCCGCTGCCTTTTCTCCCCACTGGTCTCCTTATGTGTCTCCCCGCTTATTGTGCCACTGCTGGCTCGTCTTGCTGCAAGTTTTTCCACGAAGGGCAACTGGCATCTAGCAAAAACACGAAAAACAACAAGACGTTACCACGTCTGCTGACCCAATAGTTCTCACCTTTTTGCTGGATATCTCTGGCTCAGCCCTCGCCAGCCTTGAGCCGGCGCACCTTTCAAGCTGGAACTTGCGAACATCAGCTGTGAGCGAATAGCAACTTCAGCTTCCACTCACAAGCCACGGTGGCCCAAACTTTTCTTCCATCGCATCCAGTTCCAAATCAGACAAGCTGCCTTGCAGGCTGAACAAGCGACCCGCAGCGCGATCAAAAAGAGCATTGAGAAACACTTGTCCGACGCGACGCTAACTCAAAAAGTTGCGTTGTAATCGAAGCTTCAAACACTTATTGCAAACATGGTGCTCCAAAAGCTTTCACGCTGCGCCAGCTGTGACGCTTTGAGTTCTTTGGTTTTTCGCCGCTTCTCCTCCACAGTGGACCAAGCATCGGAAGGGTGAGACATATGTGACACGAGCGCTTGTCTCCGAAATCAAGCTTGGAATTGTCGGACACGTTGCAAGTAAGCCAGCTCTCCCCGTTCAAAAACTGGCCTAGAAATCTCTAACTCCCCTGCGCCCTCTTTAGACGCGATCTCTGAAGCTCACTAAGCGAGCCTCTACTTAAAGGCTTACGCCTGACAGCCGGGCGCCGGCCCCGGGAGGGAGGAGACAAAAAGGAAGGGAACACTCTCAGACAACCTCAGAGAAAGCTGGAGGGGCAGCCGCCCGAGCTCTGGATCTGCGGGCGCGTGTTTGTAGACCAGTTGTTTATAGGACAGCAAGTGGCAAGCAAGTGTGCGGTGATGGGGCTGGAATGTGGGGTTCATTCAGCACAGCCGGCATTCGCATTTCACCTCACGTTTGAGCACTTGACGCCCACGATCTCCGCAGAGGGGCGCCTCAAGCCCAACCAGAATTCGCATTTCACCATGCGTTTGAGCGCCCGAGGCGCGCGATCTCCGCAGAGGGTCACGTCTTGCAAGCTCTGTCTGGCCAGGCCCCCGGCTAAGAAAGAAGTAAGAGATATATAGCCGAGATTAATCACGCGCGCGCGAACAAACATATATTCTATTTTGTGTTGCGACATATGTGACATATGTTTACTTGTATACAGTATATGTGTTTACTGAAGCAATTGAGCCGAGTGCATGTTCGGCTGATCTGGCGAGAAGAGGGGACCGTCTTGAGCCCAGGTTGGGCCTATGGGCACGTTGGTCAAGGTTACGCCCAGCATTGACTCCATGTTGGGCCGGGGTTGCGCCCTTGGAACTGGGGAGAGCGTCGGCAGAGGCCCTTGCGCAAAAATTGGCCGATGTGATGCAGCTGGACCAACAGATAGTTTCAAGATGGATATGGCCTCGCAAAAAGATCGACAATCCAGAAAACACCGTAAAACACATAGTTTTCGGACACGTCGAGTCCATGCTCTTTCTCTTTCGGTAGAAGAAAAAGAGACGGAGAGCGAGCAGAAGAACAAAATGCCTCAATGCAAGGCCACTCGCGCAGTAAATATCGCGCCGTGGGCCTTTCAAAACGACCTCACATCCATCACCATCTCGCCGGCAATCGCGGCGAAAAAGGTCCAAACATCGGAGGGCCGCAAAACACCGTAAAATACAACAAGTTCCATGGGCTGGGAGTCGGCCGTGGGGCCGTGTCCGCTTACCGAAGGTAACAATAACGCTCGCGCCCGCTGCCGCCGACCCACCTCCGACGCACTGAAGCCCCTGTAATTTACAGTGTATCGTGGTTGTCCGCTCATTGTTCGTTCTTCGTCGTGGAACCCACGCGGTGCGAGAAAAGCTGCCCGAGCGGACGCGCACTATCGAAAACCATGTTTTCTTGGTTGCGGAGAGAAGCATTTGGATTGAACATATGTGAAAACTGTGTGCTTTACGGTGTTTCGGGGTTGGGTGGAGACAATTGACCGGCGCAGGCTCCGAAACCCATGTGGATAGGGGAGTCAAAAGGAACATTTGACAACAATATGCAACAATGTAAAGAACAGACAAAATATTTCGACGCGTGCAAGGAATGCTGTTATGAAAGGGGGGAGTGTTCAAGTATTGGCGCCGCGACCACGGAAGATGCGTAGTTTATACATAATCGCCAGCGCCAAAATCTACGCGCGCAAAAGTGGAGCTCCATATGTTGGCATCGCTTTTGGTTGTTCGCTATATCGCTTTGAATGTTCGGACGCCAGTGTTTTTCTACACGTGGGTATGGGCAGAGGCGAAGTCAAAAGAAAAAGAAAGAGAGAGAGATGTTAAGAGACAAGCTTTTTCACAATAGCTTACTTACTCCATCATAGTGTTCATGTACAATTGCATGGCGCTGTACAATGCACCTTGGATCGAGGCCTTGAGCCTAAGGACAGTTGCCAACAGGAAAACAATACAGAGACGTGCACAAACAAACGACAAACAAACAGCTGCTGAATTTTACATGGTAGCGGAGCAAGGATCCTGGTAACAACAATCCAGGTGAGCTCCAATACAACAACAGGAACAAGCCCACAAACACATACAACGGAGAGCAAGCCTTGACCCTACAACAGGTAGCTTGCACAGCTGCAACAATGGCAGCACAACCAGCAGCAGCTCAAGCTGGAGATGGCCTACCTCCAGTTCCAGAAGACGAGACAATCACCAACATGGCAAACATGAACAGATACAAACTCAAACCACCTTTCTTCAATGGAGACAATGGAAGTACAAGTTCACAGCATACATGGGATTGCAAGACAATGATCACACAGAACTACTACAAGCAGCAGAACGAGGCACAGCAGAACTCACAGAGCTACAATTACGAGCAGCGGCATCAACAATCGAAGACGGTGAACGACATGTTCGCCTCAGCACTGATTTGAGGTACATCCTCATCAACACAACAACTGGAGCAGCAGCTACAGTATGCAGACAATACCAACACACAATTGGCTTCGAGATGTACCGACAACTGTGCATCCGCTTCTCCATCCCATTGGGGACAAGATCCATAGGACACTTGACAAGATTGTTGAAACCAACATTTGACAAGAACAACTTCGAAGAATCATTTTCCGCATGGGAGTTCGAACTACAAAGATTTGAGCGAGACAATGGACAGACACTCCCAGACTCAGTGAAGATTGCCGTATTGCTCAACGAGACAAGTGGACCACTACAACAACACCTACAACTGCTTTCAGGACAAAGCCCAAACTATGCGCGAGTCAAACAAACAATCATCGAGTACTACAGATCAACAACAGCATTCAGCAAACTACAACAATTACGATCACAATCATCCAGTGTAGCAACAAGCTTTGGTGGAGGACAAGCACCCATGGACATTGATGCAATCCACAAAGGAAAAGGCAAGTACAGCAGTTACAAAGGGAAAGGAAAAGGAAAGAACAAAGGCAAAGGCTACGGAGGATACAACGGCTACGGATACAACAGTTACAACATGAACCACAAAGGAAAAGGAAAGTATGGAGGAAAAGGATTTAACAACTACAACAATAGTCCGATCGGCTTTGGCAATCCATTCGGAAGAGGCAACAAAGAATGCACATTTGCATACTTTGGGATTGAATGATCACTCTAAACAACAGCAATACCTGTGCATCCAATAACCATATTGTAGGCATGTTGCAGTTGGTGTGCTTTCCACATTCAATCCCTGAGCAAGGCCTGGCATGGATATAGCTCTTGGAGCTGCTGCCACATATGAGAGGTGAAAAAGAGCAATGTGCTATAAGATGAGCTATAGCAAACATGTGGCAAGATTCATATATACAAACATGTTTTTACATGCTTATGTGTTGGTAGCTAGAGTTTAGCTGACTTTGAAGCTTCAAGCTTTCAGTTCATAGTGCAGCTATTGAGTTCTTACAAGCTTTCAAGCTGATTGCTGATTTGTGCTGGTGCAATGGAAGCCCTAGCCAGAGATCTGAACCTGCTTCCTTTGGTGGGTATGCTTAATGTGAGCAACATTGCCATGGACCACTGGGCTGAGAATGACCCTGTCACTCACAAGTGGATGTATGTGTGGTATGAGACAGATGGGAGGCAAACCCTTTGGGTTGTGAGGGTGCGCAGAGGTGGCTATCGCATTTGGAACCTTGTTATGTTAAGAATACTGTTGTTGTGTTTATGAGGCCCATATGTATATATTTACCAGGTGGTCTATATATTGTTGATGTGTCACTGGGAGCTTTCCATATTATGTGCTCCATCCAAGGACAGAAGCAGATGCCTTTCTGATGCAAACTGCTGTGCTGTGGAACTTAACACTTCCACAAATGAATAGTTTGATTGATTTGGTGTACAGCTTGTGGCAAGTAGAAAGGCCTTAGGATCATGGAGCTTTCTGCCCTGCCAAAAAAGGAATACGCAAATGCGAGCAGTTCAAGCTGTTAGGGCATTTAAGCTTAACAGTGGTAGATTAGCAACCCTTGCTGTGAGAGATGCATCTATATATGTCTAGTATATTCTTTCACTTTGATTTTGCACACAGAGCAGCTTCAAGGTTCAAGAGTTGCATTTGGATCAATTTGTGTCTTTGTGCAAAGATGTGGACTGCCAGTGATTTGGTGGTTGAGATTGGGTCCATTGCTAGCCTCCTAGAGACTAGGCTGAAGGCTTTCAGTGCTGGGAGCCAAAAAGGGAAGGAGTTTGAGGATGGAACCATCAAGAACTTTTGCAACAAGGTCAAAAGCTTGCCAAGTTTGACCATGGCTGATGCAACACAGCTGTATGGTGCTGTCAGTTCATCATGCTTGTCAAATGATCAGCAAAGAGCTGTCAATGATTGTGTTGATGAGAAGTTGAGTAACCCATCCTCAGCTTCTCATCCATCACCAAGTGGCCCTTTGACACCCCAATTGGTCGAGCACTTGTGGAACTTTTTGACCATTGCTGAATGGGAACAGGTGAAAGACAAAAACCTTTCTTTGGTTGCAAAAAGCAATGTGATTGCTAAGCGCTTGAGGCTTTTGGGTGTGAAAAGCTTACATGAGCAAACAACTGGCAGGGCAGTTGCAATTTTGATCAGTGAGCTCACCACCATGCCAGAGTACAAGGTAATCCATCAAATGGTTGATGAGCTCAAGAGCATTTTCCACAAGAATGACACCAAACCAGCACCCTTTTTTGTGAAGAAGTTCCCAGAGAAGCCTGAGCAGCTGACTGACATGCATTTTCAGCATGCATATGGGGATGCTGAAGGGGAGAACAAGCCTATTCAAGACCTCAATCCACAAATGCTTCAGCATTTGGTTGCCAAACATATTCCTTTGAGGAAGCTGCTGAGGGATGCAGCTAAATCCAGTGCCACAGCTTCAAGCTCAAAAGATACTGCACCATCCCATGAAGCTGCAACACACTCTTTTGCAGCTGCTTCACAATTCAAGCAGATGGAGATGTTCTACAACTTCATG